TGGGAAGGACTGGGTGTGGAAATCTTGTCTGAACAGTTGATTCAGTGTAAATCTGGAACCAACCTATTACATTTAATATCACTTTTATTTTATTTATATTTCTTTAAAACATTTGTTCCCTGCTTTCCCAAAATTATTTAAAGTCTTTTTCTCAGAAAATATGCATTTACAACATATTCAAACTTAACAGGTAAAATGCGAATGCTAAAGTGACAATGCTAAAGCAACAGAAATACTTGTGAGCAGCCCAGACAGTCCTTGGGCAATGAGGCAGCATATAAATGAAACAAACAAACAAACAAACAAACACTACAGCAGATGACAAAAATGCATAACTTGGACTAAAATTAAGATCCAGCAAAGGGTTTCACTAGATTATTTTAGCACCCAAGCAGCTTTATATGGGAGGAAGTGGTCATTGAATTACTCTGGTCTGAAGTTGTATAGGCCTTTATAGGTTAGTAGCAGCAATTTGAATTACATTCAAAACTGCACAGGAAACCAGTGACAGTGCTAAAGCAAGGGTTCCTGCTCAGTCTGGGTCCATAGCCTGAATGTACTTCCAAGGACCCTGGATCTTTTCCCCAGAGATCGATGTCTCTGTTGATGAACTGGAAAGACCTTTGCCATACATCAGGCAATTTTCAAGGGGGACTGTGGTTGTGGTGGGAAGGGTTAACCCCCTCCCCCCAATGTGGCAATCTAGCTTTTAAAATAATCTTCCTGTTACAGCATATGACATTTTTTTTACTAAGTTTTTTTTTACTAACTGGGGATGGGGATTTCCAAGATCATCATAGTTTAACCACTTCTGCCCTGTTCACTTTTTCTTCTAACTGGCCCCTTTTTGGCTTCCAAAAAGTCTAATTTAGTATACTCAGGCATAAATATATAGTACTAGTCCCCACAAATGGTGTGCTGGAGGTGTCTGGTGAAGGTGTTTCCTTCTACACTGATTTCAATGAGAAGAAAAATACAGTAAAAGGAGAAACCCTAGTAGGGGGAAGGGGGAAACAGATTGGGCTGTACAAAATCTGAAAAGACAAAGCAGTTCTTTTTTTATTAGGGTTTCTTTTTTTGCATTTTCTGCTTTTTTAGTTTATATTTAAGTCACATATCCAAGGTTGTTGCTAATCCTATCAGCACCTCCTGCCTTTGCTAAACAGATGTTAAGGGTTAGAATAATTTTAGACAAAAGGCGAGATTCACACAGCCATATCAAAAATTGTGCATCCAAAAACTGCTCAAGTGACAAGAGCGGGCGACTGTGAAAATACTGAACTGCTAACAATCTGCAAGTCTAGTCTAGACCGATAATGTTGGTGTTTGTGAAAAAAGAAATTATCATTTAAAAAAAAACGGAAATGCTGTGAGCATATAAGAAGCTAGGTATTATTTCACATATTGCACTGCAAACACCATAGGGCTGCTGTCACATCTGCCCTTAACAAAGAGCCACAGTTTGCTGAAGTGTGCCTGCATAATACACATTTTGTCAAATTATATCTTAGAGCAGCAGATTTTTTTGTTTAAATTTGGATCTGTCCAAGTGCATATACCCTCCATTGCTTGCCATTTCCCTCTGAGTAGCCTTACCCACCCTGTTGGCACATTTCTTCCATAGTCCAGCTGAGTTTTAACACACATTGATATATACATTTTATGTCTAGGCTGATGTAGAAAGGTGGACAGCTCTCATACCCTACGGTCTGCCCAGACAGATCCATCTGGTTCTGAGGAGGAAGCCAAAGGGCAGAGGCTGCCAGATGATCGTACAGTTTTAAGGTTACCTAGTGAATATACTCAAAGGTACACGAGAACCAGCCCACTTTGGGAAAGGAGGGAGACATTTTAGAGCTGAGCGATGGGGTTCTTTGACCCAGTCAGGAGATGACAGGCAAGGTGAGCAGACCAATTACAAAGTGTCCAGTGTTTCTGCCATCTTGCCCACAAGCAGCAAGAGCTACCTTGAGGGTGGAATCAGAAGTTTTTCTGAAAGGGAATGAAGGTAGGAAGTTTCAGTTTGGATTCAACTCTTTACCTGGGCAGATGTTTCTCCCACATCAAAAGGAGAGCACTACTTTGATTTATACTGTTCCATAACTTCTAAATTTTAATAAAAGAACAGTGCTTTTAAAGTTTCATTGGGTCTTCTGGAGAAGAAAACTCTGGACCCCAACACCTTGGGAGTGCCCTCTGGAAGCCTTCTAGCTGTATGCAGCCTCTGTAGTTGGCAAGCCCTTCTCTCCCAACAGTGCATCATTTATTTATTTATTTATTTATTTAATTTTTATACCAACCAATAGGCAAAGGCTCTCTGGGCAGTTTACAAAAGTTAAAACATGTAAGCAAAAAAGACAAAACACAGTATATGAGAAAATAAAAAAATGAACAATAAAACCACTACAATTGCAATCAAATTGGTACAGAGGTATACCAGCATTATAAAATAAAATGCAGTCTTAAAACAAAGACTTAAAGTTAACTGTTGAAATACTGGACAAGTAAAAACATTTTCACTTCGTGCTCCCCCCAAAAAAGAGAGGGTGTAGGTGCCAGATGCACCTCTTCGGGAAGCTCATTCCATTAGGGTGCCTCAACCAAAAAGGCCCTTCTCCACCATCTTTACTTTTTTTGGAGAGATCCTCCAGAGAAAGACCACAGAAGATGACCTTAAGGGCATCCCTCATATAAGGGATGAGGCCTTTCTTCAGATAGCCTGCAGGGCTAACACGGAGATCAAGGATCACACTAGGCTTGTCTGGCTCCCATGGCTCCCGTTCCATGCCCCTTTCCAGCACTTGCAGACTCTGACATTTGTCAGGGTCTGCTTGAACACCTGAAGTCAGCAGCCTTGAGACAAGCGGTTCCACTACTTCCATCTCTACATCCAGAGAATCCATTTTCTAGGGCTCATCCTCCCCATCTGAAGAGTCAGTGTCACCCTGGCCCTAAACTGCACGCCAAGAATAATTGCCATTTTCATTCCCAGCAACAGCAGACTTAGCAAGGCACAAAATGTTGCACCAGGTCAAGGTGTACTGTTTTTTCTATTTAAATTATAATACTGATTTTGAAATGTGTATATATACATAAAATTAGGATATGCAAGATTTATACAAATAGATACCTCTTTTGTCCTCTGCTTTGGTGATTAACAAGTGATCATTTTAGAATTGGATCCATTCTCTTATTTATACATGACTGGAACAGAACCAGATTTAAACAAATAGGTCTGCCATTGTCACACCTATTTGAACTTAAGGAATGTATACCTAAGATGAAAAATCAATGCTACTTACCAGAGAGTAAGGCCCATTGTCTACAGCTCTTCTTTCTAAAAGAAGAAAACTATTTGTGAAGAGTCTATAATGCTGCAATCCTTTGTAAACTTTCTTCATATCAAACTACACTAAATTCAGTGCAACTTATTCTGTGGGAAAATAGGATCAGTTGTAATGTAATTGACTGTGGCCACTGTATTATTTCAAATAATGGCATTCTATAATTATATCTGGGCAACCTCTGATTCATAGGCCTAATTCAGCCTGTGGAGACTTACCTGAGGCAAATGGTATTTGCAGAACTGCTTACTCCACCCACCAATCCGAGATGTTTAAATTCCTAGCAAGCAGCTGGTTTCAACTGCTGCTTAAATCCATGTTAATTCAAGCTGTTGTTGTTAGTCGCGAAGTCACATCTGACCCATCGTGACCCCATAGGGCACAACAGGCAAATAAAAGTCCCAGAACTCCCAGCATCCCCAGCCAGCAAAGTGTGTATCCAGAAAGTTCAGATCCCTGACCACTTTTCATGTATCAATTAAGTGTTCCTCATATGACAATCATGGTGTTTAATACATTCCAAAATGTACTACATCACCTTGCTCTGTTTTGCGATCTTCCTGCTCATTCTGCCAAGTGGGCTTTTAGGCCTTGTGTCTGAAAGTCTTGTCCTGCCTCACCACTGCGTATGAGAGCTGGTTGCTGTTGCTCAGTGGTGAAAAATGCATTTGTCAGGGACCTGGCACTGAACGTGAGTTCCAGGACTGGCAGAGATTAAATCCAGACTATTCCTATGGGTGATGAGCTGTTATTCACACAAGTTTATCTGCTGCTGGCTTATTGTTTTATTGTTTACTGCTTTATTGGTTATTGTTATTGGTAATATTGTATATATTTTCCTCCTATTTCCTATTTATATGGTCGTATTTCTAATGTATTTTAATTTTACTATGTTTTATGGTTTTGCTTAGTTATTTGCTTAATAAATATTGTTATTTATTTGTATTTATATTTTGAGCTGTCCAGAGAGCTTTTGACTAGGGGCAGTGTACAAATGCCATAAATAAATAAACATATAAAAAATCCTAGTGACCCAAACTCAACACTGAGTTAATCAAGAAGAATCAAGTCAATCAGCTACCAGTTTACCAGGAACTGGAAAAGGTTGTTCAAAAGGAGTAAGAAATACATATTGAACATATTTACACATCATTTTTCTTTCCAGACTGGGTTGAATAATTCAAATACGTAGCTATACTAAGGGTCTCCAACCTTTTTTCGGTTCTGTGCATGCATTTGGAATGTTTAGGTACAGTCATGGGCATTCTCGCAAAATGGTGCAAATGGCTAGTCAGCAAACACTTTTTTCTCAGAAAGCAAACTGGTAAGACTAAAAGAAAAGTAATTTGCCCAAGAACCCAACAAGGCAGAGCTGAGCTCTCTACAGCCTGCCAGCATCCAGGTAAAAAATAAAAATAAAAAAGCCCTTAATAAATAAATAAAATAAAAATCAGGAGGGACGGGGAGCCCTATGTGTCACATGTTGTCTGTGGGTCAACAGATCAGGAAGGACTTCAGATCCCACCATGGATTATGCCAGCACACTGTGCAGAGCATCAAGTTGAGTTAGAGCTTTCCCACAGAAATTATTCTAATCAGCAAGTCCAAAAGTGGCAGCTCTCTAGGCAGCAGACAGAGAACTGTGAAGTCAGTGCCGTGGTAACCTTAGTAAGTGTGACATTTAGTGGGCAGAATGTGATCTCCTATTCTGATGCAACACAAATGCACAGAGGCACTTTTGCTGCCCATAAGTTTGGAGCAAAAGACACAAGCAGAAAGGATATACATCTGGTTATGAATCAACACACTTTGAAATTTTATGGCTGGGCAGTGCCCCCTCTTCTGATCTTGGTGGGTAAGTAAATAGTCAGTGAATATTTTTCTTCATTTTCGGGAGATTTGACACTGGAGTTCCATGGGGTCTTCTCTGATATTTGCTCATAGCAAATTATCCATTGCATACTTACTGACCTGGAAGTAAGTTCTATTAAACCCAAAGCAGTTGGTGTTCAGTATGCTGTCTGATTCTCAAATAGGTAATTTTGTAAAATATGGTTGGAATGCAAGGATTTAGATTCAGTGTAACATAGTTGCAGTATCCAGCATTTCTATATCTCTCCTTCATGAGTGATTTGTTTTTATTTTGTAAAATGTTGGTATTCATTTAGGGAAAGATATTCTCAAGGCAGAGAAAAGGCTTTTGTGCCAATTTTTAAAACATCTTAATTCCTTACCTTTTCTGTTTATATGCAAGGAACTATAGTTCTACAGTATTTTCACTGAAAAGATAGAATATGTGAGTTTGGAATAAGGGATTTAAGTGGGCAAATTTGTTTGTCGATCCTGGTCTGTTCTTTCTGTGATGTACTAATCTATCAACAATGAAGCTATAAATACAATTTTTCTCCCCTAACGCCTGCTCCCAAATATATACAGATACTGCAGAGGTATACTCAACATTTTTTCACAAAATCCTATTGATTAAAGAAGCCACACAATTGTAATATGTTGCGTAGGTAAGAACCCTAGGCTCCTGTAACTCTATCAGATGTGTAGTGAAGGGAATTCTGATTCAGCTTGCCATAGAGGGTCAGAAAAGCAGCAACTCCTGAGGTTCTTATTTCTGTGTAAGTATAGAAGGCTAGCCATTTCATCATCCTTTACATTTTGCAGGCTGGCCCTACACCTTTCCTTTCCTTTTCTTCACAGAAGTGGGGCTGATTTGACTCTTAGGCAGAGAGAAGCAAAATTTTATTACTCTGTTTCTTTGTCATTAGGGTGCTTCCAGACAGAGGGCTCCTTCAGCTACACTCAAATGGCATTGTATAGCTGTTCAATGTTTTCCACTCACTCCCCTCTCTCCACACACAAACGCACACACACTGAAGAAGTAGAAGTGGTGGGAAAACCCAGGAATAGCAGTGGAAGAGGACTGGTCCTCCAGGAAAATTCCAGGAATGGGGCAGTGTGATTGCACCATAAATGTCCCATCCTTGTTGTATTTTTATTCTTAGGGATGGATATTCGTGGATTTTTTGTTGCCTGAAGTGACAAAATAAAGTGGGTAGTTTCATAGGTCTGATGGGAGTAAGAGGGTAAGATTTATTTTTTCAGCCCAAGCAGCAAAATGGCCTGTGCATTCGATTACTTTCCTCTGAATAAGAAAAGGATTTAACTTAGCCTATAACAGTGGTGGTAAACCAATGGCATGCATGGTGCAGTGGGCATGCAGAGCCCTCTCTGTCAGCAAGCGAGCCAAGTCACCCCAAAATCGGCCCAGCAGCCGAGCATTGATAACAACACACATAGGGGCCATGCACATGCTCAGACACCAGGCGATGATTTCACATGGCCGGTCAATGCACTGCCAAGGATATATAAAATTTATTTATTTATTTGCTTGGACTGGCTGCGAGTTGTTTTTTCTAAACTAAAACCTCAGTATTCAGGTTTTATTGTAGTGCTGGGTAATAAGAGTAGTTGAGTTTCAGCCAGGGATAGTGAACCTGTGACCCTCCAGATGTCATTGGACTCCATCCTCCATCATCCTTGATGACTGGCAATGCTGGATGGGGCAGATGAAAGTTGGAGCCCAACAACATCTGGAAGGACACATTTCTCCAGCCCTGGTTGAAACCCCAAAAGCCTTCCAACATTTTATGGATAGAAATAGGGGTACTGCTCTGTGCTTATATTACTGGGGAAAGACAATATGAATAAATACTGGTAAACTAATATCCTTTTGCAATATTAAAGGCAAGCCATGCATGGTGACCTTTAGAATGGAGTCCCAAAAGAATGAGCTGATGCAGAATGACAGGTGTGAGCCTCCCTCTTTCTCCAAAACTTAACACAAAAAATGCAGATAAGAAATTCTGATATTTTAAGGTGGCAAATCGGAGGCTAATTATACTATTAGAAAGACATGATCAGGGTTAAGTTGTGATTTGGAACACAATTCTGATTGTACAAGTACCATCTTTACCCAAGAGTGACAGGTATAATTATAACTACATAGCTGATAGACCTCAGGGTAACAGACGGAACAGAATTCAGCAATGATGAACTCTTGATAAAAGCTACATTCAGATCAAATCAGTTTATTGTGACCTGTGACTGGACTGAAAAAGAAATGAATGTAAGACATATTTACAAAACCATACAGAGCAAGAAAAATATATACAAAGACATATAAAACAGTGTATCATCCGTGCTGAATGAAAAAAAAGCAAGTGAACTGAGCTCTCAACTGCAAAATTAAAATTAAAAGAAGCTTCATAACTTTTCCAGTAACTACAGGAATGGTGTTTGCTGAGTATTAAGATACATAAAACAAATTGTCTCTGCCAGAACATTTAGAGAATAAAGGCACAACCAGTTAGCTCCTAATAGTACAATAGGAATTGCAATATAATGCAACATGCATCCCAGTTTTTAACAGAGAAATCCCATGGCCCTTGGGCAATGACTAGAGACCAATAGGAGTTTTCAGAGTCCCTGCTCCAACTTCAGAGCTGGTACTCGGTGCTGAAAGCACAGCAAGTACCATACGAGCTGCCTATCTGAGGTTGGAGGAGCTGGGAAGGGGTTTAGAGGAGTTCTGGGGAGAAGAATGAAGGTTCATTGATTCTGTCAGGATATTGGATCCATGTTGAGTAGAGCCCTTTATGCCAAGCCAGTTAAACAACAAACATGAGAAAACTGGGTTGCTAAGGCACAATTGCCTACAGACTTAGTTTTGCCCACTGTAAAATGCATTTAGTTGTGACATACCTCATACAATGTTGCGAAGATGGAGGGGAAGAATTATTATTCTCCTCCTAAATCATAGGCATAGTTAAAGTGATAATTCCAAGTAACTTTCTTTTTAAAACTCAACATCAAGGTTAAACATGTTTGAGGAAGGTACTGTGGAATGGCTAGACTAAGACAGTCTGGCACATAATTGTGATGCACAGGATCTGGTTGTCATAGCAAAAACCCCTGTTGTATTTACAGAGTCTTTATTCTTCCCTTCCACATTGTTCAGAACATCCTCTCATCAACTGCACCTGTTTTGCCGCTTCCAAAGATGGATGCATGTCAATGATCTGCTTTAGGACAAAGGACATTGTAAACACAATTCCCTAAACAAAGGCCATGGCATTGAAATGGATTTGCTAGATGTGTGTGATCATTTCAAAGCTTCAGTAAAATGCAGCAATAAATATGTGTATGAAGGATATATCATGACAACTATCAGTACAGCAAGTAGCTCTTTACTCCTTTGCTTTGATCTTAATTTAAATATGGGCATGGTGAGCTGAGTTACACAAAAGTTGAGTATTAAACCATTTGAGGATGGCCTCACCCCTGCCCTTTTACACATTCCATCCCCCCACACCAAAATCCCATTATCCTCAAAAGGATGGTTACTTTCTGTACACCTTAATCTGTTTTGTTTGTTTGTTTTTGTTTTTTGCAGTGGCTTACCCTGCTGTTGGAAATGCAATGCGGGAGAACACCGCCATTTTGAGCAATGGATCTGTCACTACCCACACTATTACATTTGACACAAAAAGAATAATGACACCTGAGCCATGGCATCCGTTTGTGTCTCAGACGCCAGACAAAGAGAAAGCCAAAGAGGGTGAAACAGTGGTCCTCGGATGCCAGTTCCACAGCTTTCATGGCCCATCTTTGAATAACCTAACAGTGAAGTGGTACAAGGAAGATGAAAAGGGGCAGAGGGATCTTCTAGAGAACAATGTCACTGTCTTGGCAAACAGCACCAGAATGCTCTTAACAGGGAATTTATCCAATGGCAATGCAGCTTTGACTATCTTAAATGTGACAACGGGCGATCATGGCACTTATTTCTGCCAGGTGATTCTTTCTAGCGGAGAAGTGGTGACAGGCGATGGCACAAAGCTCAGGATCCGAAGAGCACTGGGTAATGTTCTGTTTGTCTTTTAGTTGTTTTCTTTTCTGTGTTAGTCAATGCAGCAAAAAGTAGGAAGTAGATCACACGATCTAGAAAGCTGACCACCAACAGTGTTGTTTTCTCAGAGAATCCTAGGAGCAGGTGAGGTTGATGAGGCTGCTCATAGTTCTGTTAGAGGTCCTTATTTCCCTGCATGGAACTGCAGTTCTTTGCAATTCTGGTAGGAAAGGAATCATTACTGAACTAGTTCAGTGATGTGTGATTTTGGCCCTGCAGATGTTTTCAACTACAGTTCTCAACAGCCCTAGCCCACATAGCCAATAGTGAGGGACCACGGCAGTTGTAGGCTCAAACAACTGGAATGTTACAAGTTGCCCAGTCCCGACACATGTGGTATAGACTTGGGCTTATTTGACATAACTGTGTTTTATGCATTTATGCGATTAAGGTACGCACAGAGAATGACATGGCTAGTGACACGTAGCTCCAATGATCTAGCATTTACTAGTGCAAATCTAGAGATGGTCATTTAGTGTCAGATGAAACCTGAGGGCTGATTCATATGTCTGATCATCACTTGGTCTTGTGCCTCCATCAAAGTATGTTAGATGATTCTGGAATGATGAGAAAGCTTTATAGTTATTTCATTTAAATAGGTCACCACCCAGGGATACAGTCCACAAGTGATGATATATATATATGCATGTGCAAATTGGCCGCAAAGCACATCTTTTATGTGCTGCTTTAACACAGAGAACATGGTGTAAAATAGCAACAATTAAGTTTATATTCAGACAGACCTTTTATCTGTTGTGCTGAAGGGGCTTTAATTGGGTGGTTGCTATTTATTTCTTTTATTGTATGTGCTTTAATTGCTTTTCTTTTATATTATATTTTAATTAAAATTTTGTTTTAATGTGTTTTATTGTTAGCTGCCATGAGCACCATTTTTGTGCAATGGTGGGCTATAAAGATTGATTGACTGATTGATGCACAAGAATTTTGATCCCACCTTTCTGAAAACATAATCAAGGAAGAATAATTATGCTACCAGCATTATTGCTTTCAGCTCTCTTGCATCATTTGACATGTGATAAGATCCTTTATTCATCAATCTTCCCTTTTCTATCTGAAACTGTAGCTCTTTCAGAAGCAGCTGCTTCTGAACTCCATTCCTCACCTCAAATGAGTGCCAGCAATTAAACATAAAAAGTACCTTTCAATTCATTTGGTATGACCCTATCACTCTGCTCATTGATCCTTAACAGACTTACATTGGTTTTATGCTACTTTAATTGCCAATGAATCCCTTCTTCACTGAATCCTGGGAATTGTAATTTGGTGAAAGTGATGGGAAATTTCTATTACAGTTTATGAACTCCCCTCACACAGCTCTTAAGTGTCCCTTGGGAAATGGGATAACTACCAAACCAGAAGTTTAGCACAGTTTTTATTCAGACATAAATCCCACCATGTTCCAATTTTTCTTGGGACTTGGGATTTTTCTCCCAAGTAAGGCACTCAGGATTGCAGCATCAGTCCATCAGGTGAATACGCTTGCAGTCTTTGCACTGACTTTTATGGCACTAACTGCATCAAGAATAAATTCTTACTGTTTCTCCATGTGTGTCTACACAATTCTCCCTTTCACCCCCCCCCCAGTCTGAGAGTGTTCATCTGTTAGTACCCTGCTTTTCCTCTCCCAGTCTTGTCTTTGAGGTGTCCTTAGAGAACAGTCTTATATTTGAAGGAGCTGTTCAGCCCAAGTAAAATTTAAAGAAATTGGATTTATTCTAATTGGACTTACTCTTAGTGGATAAGAGCCAGTGTGGCACAGTGGTTAAGAAGGCTGGACTGGGACACAGGAGATCTGGGATCCAGGGCCACTCAGGGGGTGAGTGGGGTCAACATGGGGTGACCTCTGAGCCTAACCTTCATCAAAGGGTTGTTGTTGTGAGTATAAAATGGAGACAAGGAGAATCTGAGCTCCTTTCAAGAAGAAAAAAGTTGGGATATTAATGCAATGTAAAAGTAATAATATGAAATAGATCCATAAGAGAGGAGAGTAACAGAGGCCTTGAAAGGTCCATCTGCACTTAAAACCTGGACAGAAGACTGAGTAGGCACACAGGTTACTGGTTACACATCACCCCAGTAACGTGAGCTGTATTGTAGTTTTGTTGAGATTATACTTATTTCATCCACACATATATTTGCATATACAAATATTAAGCAAATTGCTGTTCTCTGTTGTCCTTGTTTTGGTGATGAAATTCTTTTTTGACACTCTGTAAGTGGCCAACCTAAACCCGCTGAAGTAGCATTCTATGCAAATTGTGACCTCATTCACCCAATTATAGATACATGGCCTTTCTTACTCTATTTGCTAAAAACTATGCATAGTACTAAACTATGCATTGTCCCTGTATAACTCAGGAGCTATTTTCATAACTTAAAATAGACTACTTTGAGCCTTATCCGTTGAGAATTGACTTTAATTCTACTGCAACTAATCCTATGCATATTTATGCAAATTCCCACTGACTTCAATAGGGTATGCTTCCAGGTAAGCATGGATTGCAACTGTGCTACTATATACAGTGAGATTGCTTTGTTTAGTTCTGCCCTACTATCTGCACATACCTCTCAGGCCTAAAAGTTGTATTAATGGAAATAAAGTGCAATGTTTGTTCTTTAATCTTGAGTGACATCTGGTGGTATCTAGTGAGCATACAGTTCAGTAAAAACGTCTGTGGCCTTGATTCAGCAAAGCATGTAAGCAGCCCTCACGTTTCATCATATTGCTGCAGAGAATAGAAGAAACGGTGACTGCTGACATTCTAGCTTCTTTGAGAGAGCCACGGAAGTCTTTTATAGTTTTCGGTATTGGCAACCCATTGTCCACCTCTCTTGAGCCATCTATCCAACACGGTTTTAATTTATTGACTCAAATCTTGATGTTTAATTCTCCTCTCTCACTTTATTGATTGGCATGGTTTTTATAACACATTAATCTACTAGCCAAACCAATTAATATTTGCTACCCTAAATACATGCATCAGAATTTGTTTATCCTTCTCCAGGAATTGCTCCTGTTAACCATAGTTTCATATGCAAAAAATAGCAAGTGGAAATGTTTATCTCCGTGGCCAGAAAAACTCTACCTGCTTCTTTTTGCAAACCAAACTGCTGTTGAAGGCACAGGAACAATTCCCCACCCACCTCCCCTAATCATGGGTCAAATCTATAAATTAAAATAAAGCAGTGTTTTATTATCATTATTTATACTAATACTGATGTGAGCCATAATATGTCTGCAGTTATGTAGGCAAAACTATACCACCAATTCACAAGGACTTAGTCTTCCAGCTGTGGACTTGGAATAACTTTGTTTATAGCATTTGTATGCCATGCCATAAGAAAGTTTTCTGGGCCATTTACAGTAAGCAAACCTAAAAGCAATTTAAATACAAAACAGAGTAGAAAATTATACAATCAAAACCAGCATAAAATATGACAACAAAACTAACACAGCTCCAAAATTAAGCACACAGATTTTAAAGCTGATTCTAAGTCTGCATGACTAATATAAAAGGTTAGGGTGAACACAAAAGTTCACCTAGAGTCAAAAAGTTAGTGTGGAGTAGTATAGTAGTTGGACTCAGGATATCTGGGTTCTAGTCTGCACTTGACCATGAAACTATCTGGGTGGCTTTAGGCTGGTTGCCAGCTCTTAGCCTAGCCTACCTCACAGTGTTGTTGTTGTGAGAATAAAATGAAGATAAAACCAGCTTGGGTTCCTCATAAGAGGGAAAAGGATACACTATAAAAGTGATGATGAGAAGAAATAAGAGTCAATGAAAAGTGGAGAAAGAAGAGATGATCCCCATTCCCCCAGACAACAACTCATGGGGGGCGGGTTACACATCACACGAGGCCATGCTGAAATTTGACCAATGTGGGCCTGTGGTGCTTGCCCAGTCCCAGTCTCAGAGCACCTGCTTGGTCGGATTCGTATTCTGAAACAAACCATGGAGAGAATCAGTGACCTGTTATAAGATTTCTACAGCTCACCATGGCTTCTCTGATCATGCATCCCTGGGAACATCATTTTACCCCTGGCAAGAGCAGCCACAAAAGGAATTGTTTCTGGTCTTTGATCTCCACTGTCCTCAGCATCCTAGCAACAGATCTGCCATTGCTTACTTTATTCCCATAGGTTGACCATCTGTCCATTTCCCTGTTTACTTTTGGAAATGGGGAGAGAATATGAAAAAACATGGAGGGGGGAATTGTAGAGAAAGCTTATTTTCATTTAGTAAAAATCTCCAAGGGGCTGGAGCAGCTGGGAAGAGCTGCAGGCTTGCAGATGTGTTTAGGCTGCCTAGCCGATTTCCCCACTTTTGCCTGGGTGTGGATCAGGCAGGACCGCCTCCTGCTCCAGCAAGAGGTCCCCTCTGGAGCAAGATGTAAAGGTACCTTTTCAGCTCCCTCATCTTCTCTTCTACACTTTGGGGCATGAGCTCCGCTTGACAGTTGTAGTGCACTGAACTCGGCTCATCACAGCTGCCAAAGGAAGGAGCCTTATTCCTCCCTGTGGTATGACCTAGGATACTACCTAGATGACTGAGAGGGAAGGAGATGACTGGAAGGAAGGGAGTTACTACCTGATTCCACAAAAGACCCATGGTAGCCATGCAGGACTGCTTGGCGGGACAAGTGAACCCAGCCAATGGCATTGATATGTTGGATGAGTAAGGGAAGAAGACTGAGGGCTGGATGGGAGGTAGGAGCAGAATCCAGCTGCTGGAATAGGAGGACAAAGATACATAGATGTACAGAAAATGTAGAAAGCATAATCTTATTGTATGGTTAGATCACTTTGTGATTCATACTAAGAAGCTGTTTTAACAGTCACCAGGAAGGAAGATCTACCCACAGAAACCAAGTGAGAAAACAAAGCTTGTAGCATAGCTGGGACTGGATACTGGAGTGCCCATTCCACCACCACCCAAAAAAAAAAAAAAAAGAAAGAAAAAAGACAAAGACAACGGTGGCACAGAAAGAGTTCTCATGTTTTCTAATCCAGTTCTTATTAAATGTGAAATAATACCAAAATAATATCGTTAAGGCAAATACCAAAGCAAATGCAATTCACTATTCCCTTATTGCAGGCTGGAAGGGTTGCAGTTGGGAAGGAGTGGCTAAACAAATGCACAAATTATAGCCATACTGTTTAGTGTATACTATATATAGCAGCTCGAGCTCTAAGTGGTTTTGTATAAGCCTGCAATGCTGTCCAAAGACACTGGATCCTGTTAGACGTGGGACTGCAGCTAAGAGAGCAGCATGTGACATCCCTGCCCTCTGTCCATCTTTTTCTCTTTCTACTGGAAGCTGGGCTGAGGGATTTGATGTAAAAACGGTACCGTGTGGCCCACTGTCACAGCCTTATTGCCAGTTGAAGGGTCAACACTGTGAGTAGCATACTCAGGTAACACACACATGAACACACACACACAGGATACACTGCAGCATTTTGTTGAAGATTATTATTAGTGCTTCTCTGTATTCTGTATGATAGATAATTTCTGATAATTCTGCACATTCTCTCTCAGGACTGTTTGGCATAGAAGAATCCATTGGAACAATCATTGGAGTGGTGGGAGCTGGTCTTGGCGGTTTGGTAGTTCTGATCGTAGTTTTAACTCCACAGCTGAGAAAATGTCTTCCATGTGCTAAAGCAACATCCCACCAAGGTATGAAGGCAACAGTGAAATGCTCAATGATTTGCTAGAGTGTTGCGTGAGTTTTGGATCAATGCAAGGCATATTTGTGGCCCAAATTATTGCTTGTTTCATTCTGAGTGACCAGGTCATGCAGAACAATGATGGGTAGGATTATCTACCTCCTGCGCTGGAACACTGTGAGATCAGAGCATCCAATATACAGAATTCCCTGCTGGGATCCTACCAGCAGAACAGAAACAAAGGAAGAGCACCATTGGGGCTTAACAAGCCAAAATGGATTAGTGTACATTTCCTTCATGTTGGGCTGATCTTCAGGGATCAGGAGGGCTTTGAATCTGTAGATCCAAGGCCCCCACCTCCACCTGTGGTCTGCTTCCTCTCATCTTTCCCAACATCAGACATCCAGCACCAAAGAGGTGATATGAAACTTTCTGCACAGGATGGGAGGGGAAAATCAAAACTTCATCTTACCAAGGAGCCATAGAATTGCCACCTAAAATTCCCACGGCCATTTCTCATAACATCAGTATCAGAAGCAAATCCTTGCACCTAATCTGTTGAGGACATTGCATTTATTTCTTCTATTTCTGTCCTGTCTTTTCCCTCCTTCTCACAATCTTATCCTCACAAAACAACCTTGTGATGTAGGTTGGGCGGAGAGTCTGTGACTGGCCCAGAATCATACTGTCAGCTCCATAGTTGAACAGGGAGTAGAATCCAGATCTCTTGAATCCCAGTCCTGTACTCTTAACCACTATACTACACTGGCAGTCTACAATGGCATAAGCTTTAGAGTGACACTTGCTACAGTTTTCCCTTAGCATGTTTGCTTTGCGAGGGCATGTGACATGGATCATCCACTCAGGTGAGGGCAGCCAGAAGCCACAGGAGCCACTCCCTTTTTTCCACAAAGATTCTGCTGCTGCTGATGGTGCTTCCTGTACCCCCATCCCTATTTTTTTCAAGTGCTTCCAAAGTGAGTTTTGTAAAGTGCTATTGGTTGGTTTTGTATTTGTTATTGTTATTTTGAATGCATAGTTGTGGGAACACAAAGTTTTTTAAAATTCCAGGTCTTGGCTACCTGGGACCAGTAATTGTCTTTGATTGGTAGCACAGTTACCCCTCTATCTGGAAACATCTTTGTTTGAATTATAGTTTTCTGTCAATTTTATATTAATTTGCTTTTTTCTTTTCCTTCCTCCTCAGCATAATTTGGATAATATGATTAAAGAAAAAGAAGATGTACCAAGAATAATATTGTTTTCTGAATGTAACAAAAATGCCAGTGGTTCATGGGTCTTCCATGTTTTCTCTCTCTATAATTATACTAAAAACATCTTAGTATCATAAAACATCTAAGTATCCATGACTACTTTTTTTTAAAGTTTGCATGCTCAGCTTATGTATAGAATAAGCACACGCACACATGTATGCAAATCTGAACCTCCTTATTTGTGCTATGTATGAATGCTAATGCATGAAACACTATGGGAGAGAAATTCAGTGAAAGTGGACATTTATATTCGACGTCTTGTTAACAAAGGAGAGGAAGAATGTGTGGGGAAGGAGTTTGGCAGAGAGAACTGCAGCAGGTGTGCACGCACGTGTATGGAATTAAGCACGCTGTCCATCACTTCTCCACTCCAAACCGTCTCCTCCTGAGGTTGCACTGCTAACTGAAGCCACCATCAGGGGTTTGCTACACACATTCATGCAGTGCCCAGATAAGCAGATGGTGCAAATCAAAGGAACAACTGAGCAGAAGTCTGAATATGTTAATACATTGACCTAGTTCAAACAACATGACACACCAACAGGGGTAATTAGACATGGGAGCCTTTTGTGTCATGTGAACCCAGTCCTTTTTTTTTTTTTTTTAACAAGGAACAATCTTGATTATCTTTGGCTTGTTTGGGGTTGTTCTCAGTGCCTTCCACCTTTCCAACACTTCCGTTCTCCAACTACTTAAAAAAAAGTTTGTGGCTCCTTTGAGTGTGCAAATTTTCCTTTCCCTTACTTCCTAGCTCTTACATTTGCTAACCAGCTATTAATTTTGAATCTATTTATGTGCAGCACAGTGTCAGAGAACTGCAGCCGTTACTGCTCCAAAAAGGAGACACAAAAAGAAGGGGAGTTACTATCTCAGGGAACTGTTAATGAAGAAGAGAGCACTGTCAGGTCAACATTTCAAATGGAGGGGATGGCATTGCTAAAGAGAGGACACAGTGCCTTCTGTGCACATACCCACTACTATTTTTGTTGACCCTTTTCCACTTCACTGTTGCTTTTCAGTTAGCAACTTGGCAATTGGTCTCTGGAAACTGTGTACATATTAGCCTATCTTGTTTTGTCAATTGCCTTCTCTGCTACCTAGTCCATTTCCCCACTCCCCCAGACAGCTGGGAGAGACAAGAAGATTGTCCAGGAAAGACCGATTAAAATTAAATTAAAGTTTGAAAAATTATGAACTTGATGGTGCAATTTTCAGGGGCCAGAATATTTTATTTTAAATTACTGCAGTTGCACTTTTTGGAGGCTTCAGAAATATAACAAATGGTGGTAAACAAAATAGGGTAATGATTGTAGTGGGGAAGGGGAGAGAAGAGGGGTTCTGCTGGGAAGGACACTGGGATGCAAAAACTGGCTGGAAGGCTTTGAGGGAAGGAGGGGAGAACAGTCCAGGGTGAGCCTGGCCACATGACAGTCATACTATAGGCTGTTCAGTGAACAACCAACCAACCATAGCTTATTCTCAGGACAGCTTAGCACAAGCTGCAAATGCGCTCCTTGCTTTTCAATTAAGCAATGGGTGGGTATATATCTCCTGACAACTTAACTTTGCAAATAAGTGCATCTGACAGTCAAGTTCACTGTGGGTTATTCCTCCTCCTTCTCCCTTGGTCCTGTCACAGCTATACCAGAAGGCTGCCTTGCCTCCTCTTTCCCTACCATAATCACAAGCCCATTTGTGCTCACCACAGCTTTTTCCCCACATACCCCTTCTTTTTTTCAGAAATCAAGTTTTGTGATATCCAGATTGTCACCTTAATGGCAGTCTTTCAAGGTGCACAGGCAGTGAATGAGCTATTGCTAGTTTGTCCTTCCCCATTTTTAGCACAAGAAATTTGTACAAATGCTTTCAAACTAGTTTGAATTATTTCTTAAGTTGGCATCGCACAAATATGCACATATACACTTGTTCAGGTCTGAAATGGCAAGCTTCAACTGGGCAATATCTGGGAGGTGTCTACTGTTAAAGTGCTACAGGCAGCCACCTTTGGCATTGACCAAGAGAAGCTGCAAAGCTTAAACACCTGACAAGAGTCAGGTTAAAAAAGGAGGGGGAGTCTAGATTCACTGTGAAGGGGGTGATTTATGGGCCACCCTCTTTCATGGGTCTCATTTCTCTTGATAGCTTGCTTCTGACAGCCATGCTGGATCAACCAATGGTCCATCTAGTCCAACATCCAGTTTACACAGTGGCTGGGTTTACACTTCACACCAAGTAAGCTTCCATGGTTTTTGGCTTGGATGTTCCTGACAGACAATCAACTGGTTTCTATGCCGGCAAGTTTCCACCCTACTTGCTCAGTCTTCTTACAGTTGTATGCCATTATCCACCACACCTGAAATTCAATCCCATCTAGATGGTCAGAGCAGCTCCTACAGCTGCTGCTCTTTCCAGGGGACTGGTGGTGGCTGCACACCAGGGCTGTGCAGAACAAGTTTCTGGGTTTGGACAACCAGAGAAACCATGGTAAAACATGGAAATCATAGAACAGACAGTTGTCTCCTCTTGTGGTTTCCAAAAATCAAATGTTCAATGCTGAAATGCTCCAACAAACTTTGGAAGACACAACCAAACATCATATGCAAGAAACTATCATGGCTTGTCATGTCATACAAACCTGCCCAGGGGCAAACCAGCTTCCTGTGGGAACCCACAAACAGGATATGATAGCAACAGCTCCATCCTGCCCAGTTTCTGCAGTGACTGGCACGTTAAGCATACTGGCTGTGCTACTGGAGGTAGCATATAGCCATCAGGACTAGTACCCATGGATGGCCTTCTCATTCAGGCACATGAATGTTTACTGCAGGATGTCAACCCAGCTAACCCAAAACATTTTCCTGGCTGAGGCAGAGTGCCAAATGTTGTCCCTCTCTCTCCTTTCAAGGTGTACAGTACTCAAGACAGGTCAAGTTAGGCAGAAAGGCAGTATGAGGCAGAAACCTACAGAATTTCTTCTCCCCTCCCTGTCAATAAAAACCATAACCAGAAACAATTTACTTTCCATTCATGACAGCCAAAATCAGCTGCCTGGGGCAGTTCCCTCACTCTACCTAATAGCAGGGCTGGTCCTGGATACCAGTCATTTGAGGGCCGATGATTAAATACCGGTGGACCAACAGGAGCTCGGGCTGAAGTATATGCAGTTACTGTGGCTGAAGAATTGATGGCTATGGAATATGGTAATCCACATTCTTTGGAAGCCCCACTTTAAATTATGGCTACTTGGGCTGTTGAAAGTGTATGACTTGGGGACAATGAATGCATACCCAGCCACAGTGCACATGCTGTGAGATGAGTGAGTATGGGGACTCTTTTCTTGCAAAGTTCCTTGTATCTACTACCCTTTCCCTCATTTTACTGAAAGAGAACTCTTGTGTCATGAGAGAAGACTGCCATTTCGCATGCCTTGCTAAACTAGACTTAATCACAGGGTTGGGTCCAGATTTATGTAAGATCAGCAGCACTGAAAGAAGTGAACTTCCACCTGGACTTTTCACCCACCTCTTCCCATGGCAGCCCCTCCAGCCTGATGAAAATGCTAGATGGGTAGTCAGGAGACACTGCGATATGAGGTGGCCTGTGGGGTGTGTGTGTGTGTGTGTGTGTGTGTGTGTGTGTGAGGGGGGAGGGGGTCATATCACCAAACTGGTAAAGAGACCTTCTCTTCTTATCACATAAGTCAGAACCTGAATCTAACGTGGGTCTGTGCATATCGCAAATGCATGTTTTGCTACAACTGTGTAGTTAAAGATGGACTTCTTAAAGTGAGCAAAGTTATGTGAATTGATTGGGTGTCCCCTATTTCCAAAACCGCTTTGGTACTGTCTACTCCAAGTGTATAGCTTCACATAATCAACCTGGGGGAAGGGTTATTATTTGATTTGTAATGTCAGGTGCTGAGAATCTACACAAGCAATTTGGAAACTACTGTCTTCATCCTGCTACTTCAGTGCTGTACAAATTGTGAAAGTTTCTCAAGTTAAGAGAAAATTGAAACATTTCATAGTACTATTTCAACATCCCTTCAACATCCCTTCTTACTCTTATATGCACATACAGGATAAATATGGCCACACAGAAAATTTGGCCAGAAGATATAGTATTGATTAAAATGTGCTGATCTCCAACATTTGGCTGCTTCCCTGTCACACTGACAGATGATTTGTTGACATCGGTCTAACATTGTGTCTGAAAAGGAGAAGACAGGACGAAAAATTAATGTAGAATACAACATCACAGTGGAATAGTTCAGCAGCTAATCAGCAAAGTCTATTTATTATTGTCACTTGTTATTCAGTATGGCTGCTCCTTTTTTGGCAGAGGGCGGGGGAGTGTCATAATTGGCCAAAAAGCAAATAACTAAAAAAGCATCCTTGATGTTCAGGCCAAAGTGTGTAGAACTGATCATTGTTTTCCAAATATTCATTTTTTCTTAATTTGCAACACTCAGATTTGTATATGTGTAAGCCCAGACAGGACATTTTGGAAGGGCTTTCATTCATAGGGTCACCGTAGGCTAAAGATGGCTTTATGACAAATGGGGGGGGGGGGAGAGAGAGAGAGCATTTGTTTTCTTTAAAGCATTTTATGAGCATAGAGGCAACTCTGATCACATTATTCTTTGCATGCTATAATTTTTATTCTGTATATACATGTATAAATTAAAATGTAGCACCATCACACTGTATGTGCATTGTTTATTGATGCCTATGTCCTACACACTTGATTTTCACGTAGACATTTCTTCCTGGGCTATGCATAATAAATTCATCCTGGAATCTGAGAATTAAAAAATTCATTTAGGAAACTGGAACATTTCCTTCCACCCCTTTGTTTTGCACCCTCAGGAGCACCCCTCTCTGGAGTACCTGTAAGTCAGATCATTATGCTATACAAGGGGGAAAGAACCACAAACACATTTTCTTAAAATGCACTGCTGTTTTTAACAGTTTAAACTTTAATATATGCTTTAGTACCCTGCTGTGAATCTTCCCTCTCAATATCTGTAATATTTAGAATGTCATACCATATTTTCCTAGCATAATAGCATATAGTATTTG